CAGAAAGCCGTGAGTTCAAGCGTCTTGACTTTCAAGGCTATAGGTTTTGATGCTGTGCAAGCACTTTTCAGCAATAACTAAAATATTACTGTGCTATCAGTACTGTTTTGGTTGCAAATCCAACACATAGCACAAGATGAGCTGCTATGAAGAAGATAACCCCCAACCCAGTGTAGTCCCTAACCTGCCCAGGGAAGAGGAGCCACGTGCCCCCGGGCGCTGCTCAGGGGATGCCCTAGGTGAGGCTCTGGGTTGCAGCCGGTTACTCTCTCCAGCTTTTCCTTCTTCCTTGATGCCAGCACAGACACTTGGCGAGATCACTGAGCAGCGATGGTGAGCATGCTTCAGGATGTGACACCGCAGACAGCCCGCTAGTGCTGGGCTCTCAAATGGCAACGACTGAACTCTGAGCTGCGCTTGGACAGACATGGACATACTAACGTGGCTTTACTTGGCTTATTTAATCTCTCAGCTGCAGACTTGACATCCATATGAATGGATGAAAAATATTTACTGCTACCTATGAATAGTATTTACTACAACATAACACAGATGCTGTGGTGATTAATTAAAGTTTGTAAATTATTTTGTAAAAGTGAAGGGCCAGGGCAGATGTTACTTATTTATTAAGGCAGCATTTTCAGTGCCGTCAATTCCAAGTCTGCTACATTCAGTCCCCTTGGTTTACAGGAGGAGGTAACACCCGACCGTCGATGGATTTCTGTTTTTCAGGGTCACTTGCAAAGGCTTTTGAGCCGGTATGGACTGATGACCCTATCTATCCAAAACCTGTGTACCTCGGGCTTTCCATTTGGGACCATGATCAAGATCCTACAAAGGAAAAACCAATGTTTTATGACAAAACTATTGAGTCCTTACTGGGTCAAAGATAGAGTTATGGACAGTTTGCTTGTAGCTGCTGCTGAGAGATATGCCAAGCTTCAGTGGGATCACCCCATGTGCCCCAGAGGGAGTGCTCAGCAGTTTGACATAAGCTATGGGAACGTGGCCATCAAGAGCTCTGAAGGGAAATCTTACACAGCTTGAAAAGAAGATTTTTTGAGATATGAAAGAGAAAAGGTGTGTTTTCATCTATCATGTAGGACTGAAAAACATGGGGTGTCAAGATGATTTCTTTGCCTTTTTTGGATTCAACATTCAGGTCTCATCTTCTCTGGGAGACTTTATTGTCAGTCATTCAATGGCAGCATCCCAAGATTCGGGGAACCTAAAAATGACCACCAGAAAGGCAAAAGGTTGTGCAGCTACACTGCTAACGCAAGTGTTTTCTGTTCGTCTTTGTCACCTGCACAAACTAACAAGTGGTGGGGACAAGAAGGGCAAGCCTTGCTTGCCTTCACCACAGCCTTGCTTATCCGAGAAGCTCGAGCCAGGACCCAGGGCTGGGACTAAAGTTGTTCCTCAGCTCTCTTGGCACCCTAGATAACAGAGACAAGTAGCATCCTCCAGGTTACAAAGTCCCTCAAAATTTGGTTCCCTCACCTCTCATATGGAAGGGCACAAAGATCCCTACAGCAGGGCCACTGCACCCGTGCTTCCCACAGCAGTTTTCAGCAGAGAAATTTTTGCCGTTTATTTGAATTGACCAATGCCTCCAGTTTTCTTCTTTTTTTTTTTTTTCTTTTTCATTGACATCCATGGCATGCTGCCCACGATGGTTTGAGTCCTCAGGTGTGGCTTTACTGAGCATAACTGGGTGAAACTGATCCTCTGTGATTCAGGTTTAGGACTATGCATTTCAATAATAACTGGGAAGGCGAGCTTTCTTCTAAATTCAGATTTACCTCTTTCTACACAAAGCTGACCTTAATTCAGCTATAACAGGCCTAAAAATACTCATTATAGACAAGAATGTTGGTAAAATAGCCCTGACAGGTCTGTTAATGATTAAAAAGTTCTAATTCATGTTCATTTCTTTTAATTGATTATTGAAAGTTTATCTTACACACACGCTGGAGTGAGTTGCAGGAGCTTGCATACCAGGTGGATTTTTCAAATGATTGTGGCTCTATTTATAATGACACTTGGCACCTTTAACTGACATTATGTTTTAACTCTAATAAATAACCAGAAACCCAGTGCATCAAAGCCAAGTGTGACGACAAAATATTGTCATTATTGCCAGTGACATGACTGATACTGCTGTATAAAGTAACCTTTTTTATAATGTGTGAACTTCTTCTTCAGATGACGTCTTCCATTTGGAGGACGTTCATCGCTGCCTTCTATCTTTTACGGTAAACACACAGCTGTAAAATAGCCACCCTCTGTTCGGATACCAATCCTTTTTGCAATGCTGTTGACATAGCTGGATCTCCTTTTTTGTGCTTTTTTTTCTCTCCTATCTTCCCTGA